GCAATTACAAACTTCTCTAGGACTCTTATTTGTTCACCTGGTAAAAAGGGGCAGGACTGATGCGGGGCAGAGTGAGAATCACTGTGTTATATGAATCCCAAGGCCTACGGAGCTCCATCAAATCAGAAAATCAGTGGAACCACAGAAACCTAACCATCATCATGGTGGCATAAAAAGAACTCAAACCGTTCTTCCTGCCCAGCACAAAAACTGCCTGCTGTATTATGAGAGCACCAAACACCCAGCAGTGTTTACCATAAGAGAAAACTTTCAACCTGAAGAATATTCTTAATAAACTCAATCACATTTTATCCTCACTACCAAAGAGGGTATTATTATAGAAGAGAAATGTGAACAACATGGGGGTTAAACATACAGCCCAAGCCCTAAGTTGTAAAATACTGGACTAAAATTTTTACAAAGGTATAGGACAGTGATGATAGTTGTGCAACTCTGTGAATATACAAAAAAACCACTGACCTGTACACTTTAAATGGGTGAATTCTATGGTATATGAGTCACATCTCAATAAAGCTGTTTTTTAAAAGAGGTATATGACAACTCCTGGACTCCACAATCTGGTTCAAAAGCCATGTAAACAAACACTGCACTAAAGCACATACTGAATGCCACAGTATCCTGCAGAGACAAACTACTGGACTGGAATGATGAGGAAATATGTATGTCCATAATTGATGGCATGTGAACTGTCATATGCACCACAGGGCCAGGAAGGAAAAGGGAGAGGGGGGATTAGGAGCAGAGACTCTGAGCACAGACAGGCAGGTTCAAATTCAGGTTGTATCACTTACTCACTGTACAACCTTGAGGAAATTATTTAACCTCTCTGCACCTCAGTTTCTCACCTGTAAGATGATAACAAAAACAGAGAGCACCTACTTCTTGGGATTGTGAAAATTAACCAAGTTACTAATTTTATAGCACTTAGGAAAGTATGTGGCACACAGTAGGCATTATTTAAGTCTGGTTTATACTGAGGCACCTAATTTCCTCTCTTAAGCTCCCCACCCACCCTGCCAGTATACTTGCTTCCACCATGCTAAACTACCTGGTGGACAATATGGTAGAAAGGGTAAAAGTACAGACTCTGGAACCAGACTGGCTGCATTAGAATCCCAGCACCCTCACTTCCTAAGTATCATCTAAGGCTGCTTTCATCACATCACCTCCTGATGTCTCAGTCTTCTTCCGTAAGCTAGGAATGACAGTATGTAACTCACAAGACTGTTCCAGGCATGAAGTGAGTTAATAATGAAAAGCATTTAGAACTGAATCTCCTATCTAGTAAGCACTCAATACATGTTAGCTACTCTTTTATTATATAAGCTGTGATCCCCTAAATGTACTATGTGCTCTCATCTCTCTGTCTTACATTTGCTGTTTTCCATCACTAGAATGGGTCTTTGTCTTTCCCCATCCATTCCTTCTGAAACACCACCACCTTTGAGATGTTTCCACCTCCCACCCCAGAGATTGCCTCCTTCCTGGATGCTCCCATAGCCCGGCAGTGGCACTGACCCTCCCACAGGTTCGTTGGTGAGCGGATTCAGCCCATGATACGGTGGTGGTTTTCTCGATGGCCCAAACAGCCCGATCAATTTATGTGTACACACTGAAGTCCCATTTGGAACATCAGGAAGAATGCAATACACAATTCTAAATGAATCAGTCAGTGATCATAGGAACAACTCACCTAAAAAAAAGAATATCCATCCTAAGTGTACTAGTCCTACAGATCACATTTTCATTATTATTAACACTTAAATTTGTCCCCAAATTTCTTTCTTTTCGTTCTATGCTAATTTTACCAAAGTTATTAGTCCATGTCCAGTGTTACACCAAAACATCTCTCATGCCTGAGCTCAAGTGAGCATTCCCTGACTCTTAAGTTTCATCTAGTTAATTTCATCATAAATAATGTATATACCCCACCAATGACAAAGAAGGAATGTTCACTACAACCAAAAGCGGGTAGAGGAGGAGGAATGGCTATCCCCTCTATTACAACTTTTCTTAAATGAATTTTTTTTGTTGAGTTACATAAAATATAATTTTTAAAACTCATTTTCATTTTAAAACAAGCAGGACAACGTTTGGAAATTTTTAAAAGAAATACTCAAAAGAACTCAAACAGTACAGGCAGACCATTTACTATTTACCATCTAACAAGGGAACCCATAAAGACTGTTTCCACAGAAGTAGGCAAGAAAATTCTAGAAGCTTTTTGAGTTCATCTCAAAATACTAAGAGCTTTAGATCAATGTTATTTCATGAAAAAACAAATACCTCTTGCACTGTCAAGTAGTAATCTTCATGCAGAAATCAAAATGAAAGCAAACCAAAGACTAGATTCTCAGCCTATCTATTTAAGCTATTTAAAGGAAAGGACATGAATAATTACTTACATTTGAATAAATGAAAGACCAAAGAAACTAAATGGCTAGGAGATCAAGAAATCTCTAGATATTGCTAAATTCATTCAGAAAATATTGTCTGCTTAAATATTCAAACAATTCACCACAGTGAGTTTTGGAATTCACCTGCACTTGTTAAGTTTCAGATCCTTGGCCCAATTTCTTGTAATACACCATTGAACTGGACTTCTCTCCTAGATTGGCTCCTCAAGTTTTAAGAAGGGATGTCAATCTTACCCCCAGATGAAATTGCTAAGCCTGTGGCTCCATAGCCAACACAGCAACACGTAATACCTGCACTCCAGGAGAAAGCGAAGTGCATGCCCTTTCATTCGGGCAGCTCAGCACTGACAGGCAGCTGACACAATCACTCCACAAGCAGAGTGCCCAAAGGCAACTACATAAGGAGTATTCTTGGACTAAGAGAAACCAGCACAGCTCATCTGGGGACCTCTTATGACTACATAACTACCGGCCTGCGCTATGAGGGACGTAAGAAAGAGCCTTTATGAATCACACAGATACACGTCTTTGGGGCCATGAGGTAGTTCTGGATTGCAGTTTGCTCACAGCATATAAAAGGCCATGGGGAGAAACTGCTCTCAGATAGCAAGCAGTACAAAGAGACTTCTCCCCTAAGTAACTGACCTCACAGACGGTTTCCTCTTTGCTTGGGCTGCTAGAAAGCTCAGTCACCTCCTGGCTTCATCTTACTTTTCCTTTATCCTGTTTTTCTCATCTACTGACTTGATTTTGGTAAGTCTTGTTGGACTGCAAATATATGTATATGTATGATGTCAGCCATCAGGAATCCCAATTAATCCAGAAAAGAGGCAAGTTTAAATGAATAAACAAAAACATAAGATCCCAAAGGGGAAAAAAATGAAATGGTTCACTTTTCCACTCACTACTTGGCTAAAATTCAACTGCACTCACTGATAAGATGTGGAAGTTTAATAAAACACAAAAAGTTAAACCTGCTTCTGTGCCACTTACTTCATAATAATTACTTTTCTCCTCCAGTTACATGCATATTCCTCAATTTTGGTTCCTCAATTATTTTATCTCCAAATTAAGTAAAATTATTTAATTCATCTGCTGATATAAAAATGACAGTAAAGTACATGTATCTACTTCTACCTACTCTCCTAGCAGTTGTCCCCTCCAGGGAACTAATTTACACCAAGCCTTGTACTGATTGCCTGTGAATTTAACAGAAAGAAAAGGTACTGGGTTCAAAAGGGTTAAGGAAGCTTCCAAAAATGAATCCCAGTGATCCTCAGAGAATCAACCTCAGTTATCTATACTCGTGCTCACATACACAAACACACACATGCACACACCCAGAGCACACTCCTAAAGCTGGAACTCAAGAGTATCCTGGGAAAAGAGGCTACTTTGGCCACGCAGACTAGGAATATGAAGCAGCCTGAAGATTTGGGGAGCCTGGAGAAACTTGAGTTATAGAACAGCATTTAAATATATTTGTCTGCTTACAATTTCCATTGCAAATGTGATTAGTTTGCCTGAATAAATAGGAATATGATGTGTTGGCCACGTTTTCCTCTTGAGGGTTATCACAGTGTTTTGATTAAGGACAAATGTTTGAACTGTTGGGTATATTTAAGTTCACTGCACTTAAAATGAGCTACGAAGTTGTATAGGCTTGATTAAAGGCTGCCTTCGAGAACTTAAAATTAAAAGCAATAAATTACAATGATTTAAGTGATTGGGACTAAATATGGTCTTCTGCCAGAAAAGTCGAAATGGAGTCCAAAAGAGTGTCCTGGTTTCAGGAACTGGTGATAGAGGAAGGTCAAGCTGTTGGAGTTGCTTTTCCTCTGGGTTTGTGAATGATTCACATTACACAGAATTTCTTTTAAATAGAACTTCACAGTTGTTACAGGCTCCCAGGACAATCTGTTTTGTCATTTCTAAAAAGAAACCTCTCAAATGCTCAGAGGCGGGTATGTAAGTGTTGTCAGATGTGGGGAGCAGGACGAGAAAGCTGGGGCGGGGACGGGAGCGGGGTCCTGCCGGGTCTGCTCTCACCCGCTCAGGCCTACTCTCCCAGCCGTCTGCAAAACGGAAGTCAAGGTGACTTCCCCACCCGCGGGAGGGCGGAGCCTCTGAAACCTAATAGGATCTGGATTCAGCGTGGACCGTCCCCTGGAAGGAGAAGCCCGGGTCAACAACAACCGGGGTCAGGGACAGGAGTGCGCTAGGGTGGCCGAGCGGTGCAGCTCACCCACCCTCCCCGCCCCGGGCGCACCAGGCTTCTCCTGGCCGGCCTTGGCCCTTGGCTCAGCCCTCCGCGGCCAAGGGTCCGGCCCGCAAAGTTTCTGCTGCAAGGTCGGGCCTCGGTCCCCGCCCGGGCCGCACGAGCTGCCCGGGAGGGGCGGTCACCCGCCTCCTCCCGCTGCTGCAAGGTGGCACAGCTGCCCCGCGCCCCTTCCTGTCTGCTTTCCCCGTCGCACCAGCCCTGCACGTGAGCGCCCGAGCCTCTCGAGCCGCGCGGGCCCAGTCCGGCCAGCGCGCTCCGCGGGGCAACGGGCCGACGCTTACCTTGGCGGCCGCCATTCTTCGCCCCGGGTGCAGGCGGCTGCGGGACGCTCTCAACGGCTCGCTCGCACTGCGGGCCCGGGCAGCTCACTTCCCGTCCCGGTGGCGGCGGGGGCGGTGATCCAGCCCGGCAGCGTGCGCGCCTGGCCTGCCTCCCCACGCCCTCCCGCAGGCGCGGGTCATGCGGGCGCCGCCAGCCCATTGGCTGGGCCCGGCCAGGACCGCCGAGGCGCGCGTGATCCGGACGGCCTCTGCCCTGCAGCCGGGGTGGGCCGGGGCCGCGGGCGGTGGACGGGCGCAGGCACGTGACCCCGGCTTCGCTGTTCCCGGTGGCGACCTCTATGGCTGGGGACCCGGGGGCGGTGGACGGGTGCAAGCCTATCTTCTGCGGGCAGGCGGCCTCGAGAGACGAGCGGCTGATCTCAGGGGCTGCTCCAGGGCCCTGGAGACCCGCAGGAGGGGCACAGAGCCTTCAGAAGATGAGGATTCCACTAGGTCACTTGTTCAGCCAGGTTTTCTTTGTCGGTTCCCTTTCAACGGGACTCCACTCTTCCAAGCCATATAATGGATCCAAAAGCATTAACCAGTCGAAGGAAAGGGAGCAAAGTAACTTTGCTGGCAAGCCTATTTTAGGTCAAATCTCTTAAACTAATTATCAAATGGGTGTATATAGTGCAGAACGTAACATTCATGGAGCTATTGCCTTTCAGCCCTGCATATTAGGATGGTAGCAGTAAAAAAAAAGCTCCAAAATAGGCCCCACTGAGATAAATAGGTCAAAATTTTAATGGAAAAATTAAGTGTATAGCCTCCAGAGGACTTATTCCTCTTTATCAGAATTTCATTCATCTCTGCCATCAACATCTATAATTAGGACAATAGTGGCCAGGGTAAAGAGCTTTAAGTGTTTTGTGGATTATGGCTATAGCCTGTCAGCAAAAGTGTTCATTACTGATCGTTTTAATTAATCAACTGTTTCAGTGCCTACTATGTTGGGCTTGGGGCCCAGGAACAGCAAAATGACTTGAGAGATGGTCTAAGTCCTTAAAAAGCTCAGGCTAATGGAAAGGCAGACACATAAATAATGAACTTCCCTCTGACTTGTTAGGCAACCAGGATACTGTGGGAACACTGATGACTAGAGAAGCCTCTGCAGTAAGATGATTGACGCCTAAGCTACATGCAGAAAAGTGGCTGTGTATAGTCCAGTGAGGTGGAGCAGAAGGGTTTTCCAGCTAGATAAAATAAGGAGAGGCAAGAGGCTGAGAAATTGCTAGGGAACCATAGCAATTTACAAAAGTGAAAGGGAACTTGACTGTGGGGCTGGTGAAAGAGGTAGGGTCCATGTCATGAAAGGTGTTGGGTGCCATGCTGAAGGGTGTGCACCTTAACTGAAAGGCTTTATTTAAGTCAGGTAGTAGTACAGCTAGGTGTACAATATCGATGGATCATTTTGCCTGCAATGTGGAGCATAGGGCAAGACAGACTATCGGAATATCCAGGAGAGGCTGAGAGAAAAGATGGGAGAGGGCTAGAAGAATATGCAGGAAGTAATGTTAGTCAGCCGTGATGACTGATGATAGGAGTGGGAGAGAGAAAGGCATCATCCTGGTCTTGCACAAAGGCCCTTGATGTGGATGTTGGAAAGACACCAGAGATCAATAGTACAAGAGAAGTATTTTGAAGTGTGTGTCTGTAACAACAGTGTATGTGCAATACACAAATTCTGTTGTAAAAGTCAAAGAATAAAAACATTTCAAAAGGGAGCAATTGATGAACACTCTCAAGAGGTCTAACACAGCCCCAAAAATCTTATATGTTTATAGGCAGAGGAGAAATACCAGGCAAAGAGCACAAGAATAAAGACAAAAGCAAAAACAAGAAACTTGATAGAGAAAATGATGGCAGGGGACAATTCCAAAGCTCACTATGTGCTGCATATTTTTATTTTTAAAGAAGGTCCCTGTAATATGAATGTGCTTTAAAACAATTTCTATGTAGCAAAATATACTTAACATAAAATCTTTGTCTTAACCAGTTTTAAGTCTATGTTTCTGTAGTATTAAGCACATTGACGTTGTTGACAAATCTCACGAACTCTTTTCAACTTACAAAACTAAAACTCTATGCCTATTAAACAGCCACTCCCATTCCTCTCTCACCCTAGCCCCCCAGCAAGTAATTCTACTTGCTGTCTCTATAAATGTGACTACTCTAGGTACCTCATAAAAGTGGAATCGTAAGTGTTTGTCTTTTTTGTGACTGGGTTATTTCATTTAGCATAATGTCTTCAAGGTTCATCCGTTTGTAGCATATGTCAGAATTTTAAGACTCTTCATGGCTTCTCTAACAAAGCCATCACGCCCTCGGTAGTCTACAACAGCAGAAATTTATTCTCTTACAGTTTTGTAGGTCAGAATTTAGAAATGGGCCTTAGGGGCTAAAATCAAGCAATCAGCATGGCCATGCTCATTCCGGAAGATTTAGGGGAGAATCTGTTTCTCTGCCCTTGCCAGGGCCAAATGGCCCCTTCTTTCACCTTCAAAGCCAGCAGACACAGCATCTTCTTCCTCTAACTCTACCTCTCTCACAGCCTCTTGTCTGTGATCTTCTTGTACCTCCCTCTTATAAAGACACTTGTGATGGCATTTAGAGCCCACCCAGATGATCCAGGATAATCTGTCTGCCTCCAGATCATTAACTTAATCACATCCACATAGCCTCTGCCCTGTAAGGTAACATTCATAGGCTCTAGAGATTAGGATACAGATGTCTTTCTGGGGAGCCAGGGAACATTAGTCCACCTACTAAACTTTGCACACTATAGATACAGGTGTATCCACAAAGGGATAAAAGTGTATTTCAACTTACATTTGGAGTCTGACTCGGTTAATTAAGCTTCCTCATTCATTCTGGAATTCTCCGAAATATGAAATGTTCCAAAAATTAAGTTGTCATGCACCCTGGAAAAGGGTTCCATAGGAAAGATGCTTCTTGACCTCCACGTTACCTCTAAACACTAGGGTGATGTGAAACATCTGAGAAGACAGAATAAATTGGCTGCGCACCTGCCACTCTGCCTCCTACCACTTTGCCTTGTCCTGACAAGGTTAGGCACTCTGGATAAATGACTTGTCTCATACTTGTCTGTTGGCAGCCGTGCTCAGAAAATAGCGCCCAATGCAGGGCAGCCGGAAGGCCCCGAACTTCCTAATGACAAATCATCCCACACCACTAAACTACATGCTAATTGCGCCTTGGCATAAGGACCAATGAGACCCACCAAATGGTTATGCTAATAAGGCATATGGAGCCGCACCAACCAGGTCAGAGCATGAGAACTATATAAGCAAGCCTCTCCTTCCCCTCTGGGTCCTGCCCAACTCATTTGTTTCACAAAGAGCTGAAGAATAAAGCTTTCTGCAGAAGAATCCTGCTGTTGTTGCGTGCTGTTCTTGCCGGCGAGGACGGGGCGCGCGACACTTGTCTCTCCTCTTTGTCCCCAGACCACCCTCTTCCCTACCATTTAAAAGTAGCTAGCACTGAATTTTGACTGAGGAGGCCTCATTATCTGCTGAATTATATCCGCATAGAGTCCTAATCCCCATTACCTCCAGACATGACTTCCTTGGATATTGAAGATGTGATTAGTAAAATGAGGGCATGATGGATTAGGGTGGGCCCTTAATCCACTGTGACTGGTGTCCTTGTGAGAGGCCACAGACACCCAGAATACCAGGTGATAATAAGGCAGAGATTGGAGGGATTGCAGCTGCAAGCCAAGAACTTCAAAGATCAACAGCCACCACCAGAAGTTAAGAAGAGGTCAGGAAGGATTCTACGCAGTCTCAGAGGAGCGTGGCCTGCAGACATCTTGATTTGGCCTCTAGAACTTGGAAAGAATGAATTTCTGTTGTTTGAAGCCACCCAGTTCGTGGTACTTCGTTACAGCAGGCAGAGGAGACCAATACAGACTGCAAAGCCACCTGTGTTTTATAGCACCAGATGCTAACCTGACCTGCTGGGAAAGCAGCCACCCCAAATCATGAGGAAAGCTCATGGGTGAAAAAGGCACACAGCTTGAGCATGACCCCAAACCCCGGGAGGTCACAAAAGTGAGCAGAGCGTCCTGCTCTGAGCTTTCACCATTTCCAGAGCAGCCATGCCTTGCGGATGCCCTTTGATCAGGCTCTTAAACTATCTGATTTTCCTCAGCCCCCCATGAAAACCAAGCAAACAAAAGGTAGCACTACCAACATGCTCTCTGATTAGATTGCTGGAAAGGGTATCCAGCAAAACACATCATCTACCAGAAATTTCAGGTATGTAACTACAAATTGCAATAATGATCCTTTGTGTGAACTGCATTTTGCAAAGGTAATGACTGGCCTGCTAACGGACACGTGTGACTGTACGAAAGGAGCACCCTGAAATAAGTAAATGAAAGTTCCCATGTTCTGACCTGCAGCTACTATTCAACAGCTCCAGGACCCTGAGAGCCCCTCTGCACAGCCCTTTGTTTCTGGAATCCTGCCCAGTGTCAGATCAAGCATGATAAGCCTTCCCTGAGAGTGAGCTAAAGGTAGGTCAGAAATTAATATGACCTAGCTTCTTAGGAGATCCAAAGGAGAAAACTGTGTCAACACTTTTAGAGTTAAAAGGGGAGGAAGAGGACGAGGAAGTGAGTCAGAACAAGGAAACATAAGATACCTTGAGGAAGTGTGATTGAAAACAAATCCCCAAAGCTTCAAGATACTATACTCTTGAGAGCAAGACTTTGAACAGCTAGTTTCTGAGAACAGAGCTGGTATACACAAGCATGTGAACACCTGCCCCCCCCCCTCAGCAGAACATAGGTGGACCCTCTGTTTTACCAACTATACAATATGTGCCCCAAAACAGAAAAAAGTTACCCCAAAACAGAAGTGGGGGCCATAATGGCAATTACCAGGGATCTGCTGGAGAAAAGGAATCCCAATTATTAATGTCACAATTTAGTTCATCATAGTGTCCTGGATAATAGCCAAGTATCTTAATTCAAAAATAAATGATCAGTTCACAAGCACTCAAGTAATACAGAACTTTTCCAGGAGCAAAGAAAACCTCTAAAATATGATACAACTACTACCAATTTGGGGATGGACATACATTGCC